TTCCTCAGAGGTGACGTTGCCGTGCACACCGACCATGCCGCCTGCCAACTCATTCCTTTAAAGAAATAAAGTATTCGTATTTTGAATTTGCTCTTTATTCTTCAAAGCGTTCATGTTTTTGTTTTTGTTAATGATGTGATTGTACTTGAAGTTTTAAAGTTTCAAGTTGCCTACGTACCCTCGGTTGAGGAGGGATCAAGTCATGACGTAGTTCAAATACATTTTTTTTTGTGCCGTACGCAACTTCAACTCGTGCAGGCAAGGAGCTTTTGGTGCCGTTTGCAGTTTCAACTTGTGCAGGCAATGAACGTTTGTTGCCTTGTACAGTTTAGGCTCATACAGGCGAGGAGCTTTTGTTGTCCCCTTTTATGCTCGTGCAGACAAGGAGCTTTGGTTCGTGCAGTTTAAGCTCGTGCGAACAAGGAGCATTGGTGTTGCCTTTTAGGCTCATGCGAACGAGGAGCATTGTTGGTTCGTCAAACGATCCGAGAGAGTCGTTCCTCGCAATCTTCATAGCATGGAGTCTTGACTGAGTAGTTGAAGAAGTCTTCTGGGAAGATGTCACGCATCGTGATGGGGATGGATGATCTTCGTGTCAAAGTTTCATTATCTCCAACACTTTCACATTGTTCTGGAGGTTGACAGGAGCTGTTTTGCCCCCTTTCCCATTGGTGAACTTGTGGAAGAGATGGTTGCTGCTTGGAGAGGCGTTCCTCGCAATCTTTATAGCAAGGAGCCTTGACCGAGTAGCTGAATAATTTTCTGATGAAGAAGAGATCGCTCATGGTCGATATTTGTGTCGAAATTTCCTCATCTTCAACACTTTCACATCGCTTTGGAGGTTGGCGAAAGCTGCTTTGCCCCCTTTCTTATTGGTGCACTTGTGGAGAAGACATATGCTTCTTGTGCAGTTTCTTCGGAGTGACACGAGTCCATCCTTCAACTTCACTCAGCTTGACTGGCATGGTTTTGGAGCATGCCTTCAGCGATTGAGGTGAAGATTTTGAGTTGACAGAGTTGGAAGTGACGTCTTCTTCTGGGATTTCGTCTTATTTGTCTTCTTGGGCCTCCTCTTCAGTGAGGTCTTCTTGGGTTTGTTGGCGTGAAGATTGGCCGGTGTAGATGATGGTGTGCCTCCTTACCTTCAGTGGTCCTTTTGTGTTAACCTCCAAAGTTGCTTGGCGCTTCATCCTTGAAGGAATCAAGCTTTGAACATCGTCTTTTCCTACTAGACTGTCGAGCTTTTCTTCCTTTGGCGTTGTCTTCCTGTTTCTAGAAGGCTTCTTAGTTTCTTCAAGTCTGTCTGAAGTCGATAGTTGTGGAGGAGATCTAGCTGTGCCGCTTTGTTTCTTGGGTTTTGATAACCTTTCAAAAACAGATCTTTGCGGTGTTGGCGTCTTAAGCCTTTTGAAGATGAAAGTTCGTTCTCGACCACTAATGCGATCAAGCACCGAAATTCTAGGTTTTAAATGATTCAGCCTGTCGAAGACTGAAGTTCGAGGGGCGGGTTTAGGCTCCTCTTTTGGCCTTGTGGCTTGTGGTCTTGGCTTCTTCATTTTTTTGTAGGTTGGCGATGTCCACCCTTTCTTATCACCAGTATATGCATCTTGGTTACTTACCCCTGGTGATGGTTGTGTAGGAGGTACCGTGTGACTGGAACATTGACGGGAATGGTCATGCATGCTTCGGAGATGCACAGGATCGAGTGATCCAAACACGATAGTAGTAGTGTGTGCCGCAACCGTGTCTTCGAGGTCAAGCTCGATTTTCCCTTGTTGTGCTAGCTTCAGGATGAGATTTTTCAGTACGAAGCACTTTTCCGTTGGATGACTGATGAAACGGTGGAATTTACAGTACCTTGGACTATCAGTACGATTCATCTCTTCCGACCGTCTGCATTCAGGTAGGTCGATCACCTTTTTGTCAAGCAAGTCTTTCAACATGGCAACTACATCAGAGTCAGGGAATGGATACGTCTTCTCTTCGAGCTCATTCAAAGTGCGTCTACGCATCTTTTGATCACGAAAAGCTTCGGCTTGAATCGCCTTACCTCGTGTAGGGATTTTGAAATGAGCTGTGTTGACCGTCATTGCTTCCTTGGTGGGTTTCCACGCAGTCTTCTCCACCTTTGGACCAACAACTTTGTCATTCTTATAGTCGGCGATTGGTTCTTTCTTCCCATGATGGGCGATGCTTAACTCCATGTCATGGGCGCGAGTGGCCAATTCCTCGAAGGTCTGTGGTTTAATGCCTTGAAGGATGTATTGCAAACCCCATTGCATGCCTTGGATGCACATCTCGATTGAAGAGGTTTTCGAAAGCCTGTCTTTACAGTCGAGGCTTAGAGTGTGCCATCTGTTGATGTAGTCAATGACTGGCTCGTCCTTCCATTGCTTTATGCTCGTTAGCTCTAGCATGCTCACAGTGCGGCGGGTGCTGTAGAAGCGGTTGAGGAATTCTCACTCCAATTGCTCCCAGCTGTTGATGGACTCAGGTTCTAGGTCTGTGTACCACTCAAAGGTGTTTCCTTTCAGCGAGCGCACAAACTGCTTGGCTAGGTAATCCCCTTCGGTCCTTGCGTTGTTGCAAGTTTCAACAAAGTGGGCAACGTGCTATTTCGGGTTTCCCTTTTCATCAAATTGCATGAATTTTGGCGGTTGATAACCCCTCGGCATCCTTAAGGCGTCAATCTTCTTTGAATACGGCTTCGAGTACAACCCGGAGGTATTTGAGCTCCATTCGTACTATGCCTTGATGGTGTTGGTGATCATCTCCTGCAGCTGCTAGATAGAAAGAGATCCTATGAGTGCCGCTGCTTGGTCTGGCTTCGGCTTCACATCGATTTTCTCCACCTGAGGCTCTTCTTCTTCACCAGCTCATCTCTTTAGTGGGTCGGGGTTCTCGCCGTCCTATGGCTCCAGTCGGCTGACAAGTACAGCAATTTGCAAGTCTTTTTCTTCCACAATCCGTGTTAGCCTTGCGATCGCTTCATTCATTTGAGCTAGTTGTTCTTCGATGGAGGTAACATCGATGGTCATGACTTGTGCAACCAATAGACGTGACTTTCCTTTAGACATCCAAGATGCTGACGAAGAACGTCGTTGGCTGCTTTGGGATGTCATCTTGTGTGCCTCAGCATCATGCTTCGGTGCCCCCAACAAGGTCAGGTTGATGACGGACTCACGCCTTTGATGCTCTCCTTGCTTCTTTAGCAGCACCAACTTTGAAGTGGCATGTTGAGGAACAGTTGTGGCGCCAATGGATTATCCGTTCACGGCAAAAATGCTCAGGATCCTTCCCTTGGTGGTTGCGAAAAAGGCTTGTCCCTTGCTTGATGCCATTGACTTTGAGGTGTGTTTGGATTCCTTGAACGAAGAAAGAGATGAGAGGTAAAGATAGTCCCATTGAGCGTGCCAAATTTGTGAACACGAAATTTTCCTGAAACAAGAGAGACAAGAACATGTGCACAAAATAATATTTGTATTTGATGATTTTGGGTTACAATCTCTCTCAAATTTGATCATCTGATTCGATCTCCGTAAGGTGTTGATTTATGGATGTGCGATTGATCCAAATGGTCGTTGGGCTTGATCTAAGGATGAACGTTCTTTAAGGGTCGTGGGCTTGATCTTTGGAGGTGGATTTGAGCGGATCTTCAAGGAGCCGTTGGGGCTTGATCTTGAGGATGAGTGTTTCTTCAAGGGCCGTTGAGGCTTGATCTTGAATAATGGTGATGAACGAATCTTCAAAGGCTTTTGGGCTTGATCTTGAAGAACAGTGATGAACGGATCTTCAAGGGCTTTTGGGCTTGATCTTGAAGAACGGTTGGATGTATGGATTTGTCGACGTTGTTGATCCAAATGGCTGTTGGGGCTTGATCTTAGGATGAACGGATGATGAACGATGAACACTTTCTTCAAGGGCCGTCGGGGCTTGATCTTGAATTGGTGGAAGTTCTTCAAGGGCCTTTGGGGCTTGATCTTGAATTGGTGGAAGTTCTTCAAATGAGTCGTCGGGGCTTGATCTTGAAGGTGGATGATTGTTGATCCAAGGGCCGTCGGGGCTTGATCTTGGAAGAACGATGAACGAAGAACGAAGAAGGTTTTCTTGATTCTTCGGGAACCTAGATGCTTGAAAGCTTCAGAGTTTCAGAGCTTCAGAGCTTCAAGGTGTAATATCTATTAGTTAAATGAAATGAATGAATTGGCTTCTATTCATAAAAATTTTCAAGGACTAATTTTGAATATAATATTCCAGATGAAATAAGTCGTTTCTGCCAGGTGTTGACACGTGTCTTGTTTGATGACTTTTCCAACTCATTTCAATTTTTCGTTGAGTCACACGCTACGTGTAAAATTTATGTAATACATGAGTGTTGAAACTTTGATTTATCGGTCAACATTTATTTACCAAAATTTCGATGTCTACAGAAACACTTTAAAGTAATAGTCTATACTGGAATAAATTTTTTAAAGTTAAAAAAATTTTGGTCCCAATTTGGGAATCAGTTATGTATTGAAATAAATTATGTATGGTAATAATTTTTTTTATTTTTTTTTGGTCTGATTTAACGAAACCCGTCTCCATATACTTATAAATGTCATTGAGGACAAAAAAATGCGGAGGTTTGGTTCGATCAAGCCGACTAGTATTGGAAATAAGCCATAGTGCAATAAATAATATTTTCTAACCACACGTCTATTAAATAATAACTTTTAAAAAGTTATAAAATTTGTTTGATCCCAATTCGTACAATTTTAAAATTTGTTTGATCCCAATTCTCATACCTTGTAAAAGATTCCCTTTTTCTGAAGCTTCTCGAAAAACCCTTACAATAATAATATGAGATTTTTTGATATAGATCTAAAGTAACAAAAAATTAGACCTATTTCAAAAGTCAAAAGTCACTAAAAATTAAACTTGTTTCAAAAGTAGGCCTACAAAATTGATCATATTCCAAATTCTCCCTAATATTATATATATGTAGCTCAAAAATTCAACCAAAAAAAAAAAAAGAAGTCTAGAAGATATATTCCATTCTTCCAACTCATATTCCATCCTCTCAAACAACCATTCCTTCTTAATATTTTCATGGCTGCAGAACCCTCCTCATCAGCAAGTTCCTCATCATCTTCAGACCTAAGAATCATAGTTGAAAGAAACCCTTCTGAATCTCGCTTATCCCAACTGGACATCAAGTGCTGGCCCAAGTAAGTCTCCCTCTCTCCCTCTCCCTCTCTCAATAAATAGAGGATTAGGCACGATTAGCTCTTTGTGCCAATTAGAGTCACAAGTGAGCCACTTTAAGCCCTAAATAAGTGAGGACTAAAATAATAAAAGATCAATCATTGCTCAAGAGGATTAGACGTGATTAGCTCCTCAGTGCACATAGTTGCCATCTCTCTCTCTCTCTCAAGTATATATAACTTAGGTTTTTTTTTTTAAGGTTTATTTATGATTTGTTTTGGAATTATGAATTTACAGATGGGGTTGCTCGCCGGGGAAGTACCAGCTGAAGTTTGATGCAGAGGAGACGTGTTATTTGTTGAAGGGAAGAGTGAAGGCGTATTATCCAAAAGGGTCGTCGGAATATGTCGAGTTTGGAGCTGGAGATCTTGTCACCATCCCAAAGGGACTCACCTGCACTTGGGATGTTTCTCTTGCTGTTGATAAACACTACAAATTCGAATCTTCTTTTTCTGCTTCTTCTTCTTCTTCTTCTTAATTATTATTATCATCATTAATCCATAATTATTGTCTTCTTTTGCTCATAATTTATTCATATTGATTATTGTCTTCTTTTGCTCATAATTTATTCATATTTTTCGATATTTTATTATTTTATTATTTTATTTTTCTAGGGTTAGTGAATTTAGTGAGAGATGGATATCTTGTAGTAGTGGCCTAAAGAAGGAGAACAATTAGTCAATGCATGTCCCATTGGAACTAATCCTCTTTACGTATTCGAGATCGCCTTTAATGTTCCTTTGACTGGTCAAATATGATATTTTAGAAAGAGAAAACCAAAGAAATTCAACTATTTGTGGGCAATGATATTGACACCCGCCTGTTCTTCTGGTTTTTTTGGCTTACAAACGTAACAAATAGGATAAATTATAAGAAAAACTAATGAAAAGAGTTTGAAAACTTTGAATTTTAATGATAAGAACAAAATAAAGGGTAAAATGAATAGACCAAGATTGACTTTTTAGTGTAAAAATGTAATTTTTCGTTAAAGTGAACAGTACCGCGTAAAGAAGCTAAAAATGTTGAAGACTGTAACCCAAGAACACAGAGTACCGGTCGTTAGCTCATACCTTTACAGAAATCACATGGATTTGTAAAGCTTTCAAATATATTGGATTTCCCCTACCTCAGATTCCTCATCTCTGGTGTGATAATATTTCTTTAATCTCTTTAGCTTCTAACCCTGTTTTCCATGCCCGAACTAAACATATTGAAATTGACTATCATTACATCCGTGAGCTTGTTCTTGCTCAACTTATCAAGACTCAATATGTTTGTAGTCAAGATCAATTGGTAGACATTCCTACAAAGTCCCGGTCTTGGCAGAGATTCTTATATCTTCAATCCAAGCTTTCTCTTGGTCCTTTCGATGCTTCCAAGTTCAGCTTGAGGGGTGTAAAGAAGCTAAAATTGAGTCATCAAAGTGTTGATAAGAATGGTTTATAGTTTGTTATGCTATTTTGTAAATGGTTATTTTGGTTATGGCTATAAGTGTAATATGCTAGAATACCCAATACTATATATAACAAACTCTGTTGTAATTATACATTACATTGAATGAAGGGAAAGCCTTCAGATTCTATACAACATGCTTTTCGTTAAAACTCTCTAAATTATATATTACACGCTCTTCTGGTCCTCTCTCCTCTTATTTTCATTCTTTTCTCTTCCCTTCCCTTTGCTTTTTGTCTTTTTGTCCGCATAAAAAATTCAATATAAGATGTTAACGTGGCTTAATCGTAACCGTTCAAGTAAAAGGGGAGAAAATGAGAAAGATTAAAGGATGAGAGAATCCTATTATGGGTCAGATTTGAGTTTTTTTTTTTTTTTATCTATGTGGTACAAATTTTGTGGGGCCTGAGACGATCACGTTGACATATAACGGTGAAGCTGACGGAAATTTTATCGGATGTATAAAACTAAAATATAATAATAAGTAATGTACAAGATTGAAATGTTTTAAAGAAGCTATATATGGTTGTAACTTCACTTAAGAGGGTAAAATAAAATGTAATTTAACCCAGACAGGTATTTGCACAAGGTAGTGCTATTTACACACTTTTTTTTTTATTTTTTTTAATTTTGCACACATCTTTGTAATTTTTTTTCCATTAATTTTTTCCAATTCTTTCATATGACAACCAAAAATTGAGAGAGGTGTGTGAAAGATAAAAATGAATTTGTTGATAGCACCACCCTTTACGCAATATCACCTAGACTTTTGCTAGTGTGCGTATTTACCACTTGATTTTTTTATTTACAACCTAGACTTTGCATTATGTTACAACGTATTATCTACTTTTAAAATTTCTGTTAACTGATAGTGTGGGCAACATAGTCGCTACATTTAATGTTTACGTGGATCCAACGTGTGCACCACTTGGACACAATTTAATTTTGAAAACAAAAATTAGAAAGAAAAACAAAAAAGAACCCTAATAATTGTAGTGGCTCCTACGCGTAGGCCCCCTTTAATCTCCCCCACCAGCTTCCCACCCCACACCCTTCAACTTAACCACATCGACCACTCGTCTTTCTCATTGCTTCCAAATTTGTGGAGTATAGCTGGGAGTTTCAGAAGTCGTGAATCAAATGCGACTCGATCAAGTTGGTCGGTGGTTCCACCAGGAATTGTTGGTTTCATATAGAAATAGCAGGAAAATGGGGTCGTATTGATTGATGAAGGAAAGATATCATTTTTTTATTTTTTATTTTTTATATTGATTTATATTTTCTTTATTGTAGCCCTATGTTGTATATGTTAATTAACAAAATTTGTAACTATAGGTGGTGCATTGCTACATAATACAAAGTTCGGGTTGTAAATAATAAAATTTGAAAGTTCAAGTGGAATCGCACACCAGCAAAAGTCCAAGTAGTATATGTGCAAATTCCCCTAACAATAACGACTACCATTTATTTCTGAATAATTTATCCTAAAAAGTTTAGCTATTAATTTGAACGCAATATACAAATAAATTATCAATATGAAGATTGGTTAAGATTATTATTTGTATGTGACCGCAATTAACAACCTTGGCCAACAATTTTGTCAATACAATGTCTCAAACCATTTAGCAAGAAAGAAACACTCTAATTTAATAACATGTTAGATTGTCAGATCAATGCAGAAACGTTATGGCTTCAATTAACAATCTGACAACCCAACATATTCGACTACCTAGCAAGAAAGCATACCCTAACATCGAGTGATGGGGGAAACGTTTTGTGTTGGAAGTATTAGGGTTTCTTATTTTGGTAAAAGGATGGTACAAGTCCAATAGACCAAAACTTTTGTTTGGACAAAGTTTACTCTAGGGCTTCAAATCCCATCCTTTTTTGTTGACGCAAAAGCTGGACCAAGATTTTTGGATTTTTTTTGTTTGGAATTACAGACACAGAGAAGCAGTCTCCATATCAAAATTGCACTTCACAATTAGATAAGAGTTACATGAATACAAAATCGACTTCGAACGGTCTGTTGATTGACCAAACACGGGTTTATGTACAAGCACGAAACTTCAATCTCACTTTGTTGTCACCCGTAAATGCGTAAACTCCGCCATCAACCTCAATGAAGCTGGTTGTGCAATCTTTCAGGACCCCCGACGCCAGCTTCCCCTGCTGATTAGAACTGTGGTTTGAGAGAAGCACGCATAGGGTTAGAACTATGTGGCTCCAACTGCAGAAGCTGTTTTATGGATTTGCTTTCCCAATATCTACATTGCCATGGATCCTGCAACCAAAAAACCATTCAAACAAAAGATATAAGGCGGACGATTACTCCCAAAATACGAAAATATACGATGCTCATAAAATCTGGATTGCAACAGTCTCGGTAAAATGCATTTTGTATCGTCTGCAGAGTAAATTTACAGGACTCAAAGCAGGGGAAGTGGAAAAAGAGATGCTACACGTTCTAGTCTAGTTTTTATAACTTAGCCTCTTCCGAATTACTAGACATGGAAATTATAGAGCAATCACATACAGATGATACGATTATATGGAAACTTCCATCCAAAGCCACAAACATCAAACAAAACCAAACACCAGTACTCGAAACCCTAATGTATTAGATTGAAGCCAACAAACACAAATAGTCAAATACACATCAAATTTTTAACCAATTGATACGATCCAAAACCATCCCCAGAACTATAAAAGTCAAAATAAATATATAAGTACATAAATAACCCTCAATTTATGATACCAATAACACCTCCCCTCCCCCCACCCTCCAAAAATAAACAAAAGGAAACAAAAGCCAATAAAAATCAAACCCAAGTTCGCAAATTATTATAAAGGTAAGCATGCAAACATTGAATTTATAGGAAAATATATCTACCTGAAGGAAAAAGGCTAGGCTTTTGGAGTTTATAATATATATGCTCAGCAAGCAATCTCTGAACCATTTCCCTCAATATCTGAACAAAGAAGAGGAATTCAATTCTAGTGAGATTAAATTTTGGAACGGTTTCTGAGTTTCTGAGAGAGAGAGGGAGAGAGAGAGAGAGAGAGAGAGAGAGAGATGTCAAAGTGAAGTTCCAATAGATTGCATGCAGTGAATAATTGAGTCAAATAGGTGGTATGGGCATATAAGAACACAACAGTTGACAACAAACACTATATTTTTTCAATCAACACATACACACCAACTTTAATTGTGTACCGAATGTAAAGATTTTCAAATGGTAACATTATCACCCGCCAAACCCGGCACCCCAACTTATGACTTTATTGACCCCTTATAATGACACAAGGAAAACTCATGAAGAAACATGAAAGGAAGAATATGCTACAACCTTGCTGACTATACTGCAACAGCTGTATTTTCCTCTGTAAAGTATTTTGGTCCAACGAAATTTTCATCATGGGTACCATCAAACTGGAGTACCCTAAGCTTCCCTTCCTGCAATTCATAGAAAATTAGTATTGTAAATGTCAAACAAAACTTCTAGAAAAGAACAAAAGAGCAGTAGATTGATCATTGCAAGATTTCTGAAACGTCAGAAGCACACCTTGGTCCCATAAACCAGACCTCCACCAGCAAAGGGATGAAAGCAAGCAACATTAACCTCATCCTCTGCACTGGGAAGTACTCTCACAAGTTCCATGTCTGAAACTCTGTAAACCTATATATGGTAATTAAGAGTGCGACAAAGTAAAACTTTAGTAACAATAGTAAACAACATGCCAATTGAGACAGTGCTGACATGTTAAAATATTAAGCAGAAATATATCTGCAGTGCTTTTCATTTTCCAATTAAATAAAAAGGAAAAACAGAAAAAGAAAAAGTTAAACTCGATTTTGAATTTTTATTCATCACTCTGTCATAAGCATTGAAAAACAAGTTCAACCATTGTGCCTTCGCAATATCACCAAGTAGGCATACTATTACATTCCTTGAATGAAAACTATCCAGCATTTTACGCTTTCTAACTTATATGTCTACAAAAAGAAAGCATATGTCAACGAATGGTACTTTTTGCCAACTAATACTTTCCCAAAGAACAAACAACATGCAGAAAGTGAGATAAAATAATATCTATTCAGTTACGGAACAAGAGGGAAGACTCTGGACGCTCACCTCAAGAACAGTGTAAATAGGTAAGGTTGTATCCCCATCAATGACAATACTTTTAAGAAGAGAACCATGGCGTCGACCATAAGCCAATAATATGTGCTCAGACGTGGGGGAGAACTGCAGGCACAACATAAAGCACAGAGGCTCAACTCAAAATATCCTTCCCACATCGAAAGCAAAAGTACCAGTAGTTGGAATTTACGCTAAATCAACTATAAGTACCAAAGCAACAGGAACATATACAATTTATTGTCAGTGGCAAATGACAATAGATGGTAGGCTAAACAGCTTCCAGAAATAGACATATAAGATTAAACCAAAAAGAAAGTCATTATCCAACTTAAACCTGCATAATTATTAACCATGAGTTTCGACCTTATCATTCATAGAACAAGAGGTCAAGGATCCAAATCATGTTAGAAAATGAGTCCAAGGTAATAAAAGCATGGTACAAGGCACCAGTGAATAAATCGAAACAAAAGCAAATAGCAGTCAAATTTCAATGAAACTAACTTGGATTGAAGTCAAACAATGTGCTGCTCTAATAGCCCGAGACACAAGTATCGAACCAAATCTGCACGAGATAGTTGAATAACTCATATATAAGATGTTGATAAAAGAATAATGGAAATAAGAAAGTTGACGAAAGGATTAGAAGTTTACGTGGCTTCCTCAAGTGAATATATGCGAAGCTCATACATAACTTGGTGCGCTGAGATTGGGTGGCGAGTCGGGGATGTTGCAATTCCAGAATCCTGAGGAACTAGACTTTGTAGTCCAGGGTCAGCTTCCGTATGAGGAAGCATGCACGCAACACAGGCAGCTAAAAATCTCCCACAAGGGGAGAAATGAGCACCCATTTCACTGCAAAAGCATATGCAACACAAAGAAGTTGTAACATAAACATAATTGCAAGCTAAGCACAAAAAATCCACAAAATGCATCTGATTACAACTGTTTTCAATATAGATGTGAGTGCTAGAAGATATTGTAAATTTGCAATCAATTATTAAGCCATGTAGAAGAATGAATAAGATTACAAAGAGAAAGCTGGAAAAAGAAAACGAAAAAAAAGGAATACCAAAAATGTTCACATACCTGCAAAGAACAGCATGGGGAACGGTTAAACGACATCTTTCATCATTCAGCAGAGCAGAAGGATTTTTTATATCATGCGACCATACTCTTAGTTTTACAGTGCATGGTAATTCTGCAGCTGCTGCTGCAGCCATTAATGTATCAATATCAGACTGGATTCTACTAATAATGGGCTGAGCATCATTCTCATCGGGTTGGGTATTTAAGGCAGTACTATCCCCTGATTCTGGTCCAGAGAAGTGGAACCGTGGATAATGCTGCAAATCAGATCTTCCAGAAAGCCCAGATACACTGCTGCTTCCTGGCAATGCCAAAGAAGCTACCACATCCGCCACATTATGCGCAGACAGATGCGACACCAAACTAGAAGAACCCATAGACTGAGCTAAATTGTCAAGCCCACCACGATTTAGAGGAAGCATTGAGGGAAAACTAGCTTGGCTTTGACCTGTTAACCACCCTTGGAGAAAAGGTAGCTCCCAGAATGCAGGATCTCTATATGGAAACGTCCTATAAGGTTGCCCAGATTCAGTAAAACCAGGATGATTTGAAGTATTTTCAACTCTAATATTCGCAGAATCAAAATTAGTCAAGCTTCCATGCTGGCTTCCCCCTACAGCCGGCATCTCATCAGTCTCCATTGCATCTCCTGTGCGGTTACAAATACCACTTCTCGTTCCATTAAGGAAAGAATTATCTGCATTGCCTTCAGTGTTGAGATTGGAAACAGTTGGATCTGATGGAAATGTCTCCATTGGAGAAATTGTGGTAGCATCCTGCTCTGCTGCATTTGCATCTGCTTGAAACTGCATTGAAGCAGAGGTGACTTGCATGCTATTTGATCCAGCAGGCCCGTTTTCAGGCTGCATTACTATTCTTGGATCATCTACACATGGCAGCACGAAGACAAAAGGCAAGGACATAAGTGGTAGTTCAGTAGCCAAACTAAGACGTTCACTAGAATCAGCGTTTGCCACAAAAACAGCAGGAGATGGATAATGCACGTAGCCGGGAGATGTTGCTTGAGACATTGAGGAATCTGAAGAGTCAAGATCATTGACCTGCATATCAGTTCAATAATGTAACCTATACGATATCAGGAATGAATAATCATTTAAATACCCTCTGGAAAATTACCTCAGCAGTTAAGAGGAATGGAGCAGCTTGGGGGTGAAAATGCACTGCTCGAAGGGAACGCCATGTTTTCAATACCATGTCTGGAGAAGAAGGTTCCCCATTGTATTTCCATATAAACAACTGAAACCATATTTTCTATGTCAGTGTTATCAAAACATATATGCCCATTACTAATCATCAAGGACTTATATGATATAACAAAGAACTGTCATAAAAAATCAACACCTTGTGTCCTGATGCAACAGCTAGGAGTTCCCCTTTGGCATGAAAAGCAATAGATGCAATAGGTCGATCTAGGAAGAGATTCATAAAGGGATATGAACTATGTCAGAATTCTAGGAAAAATACAATGTGTCAAAAAAAAAAAAAAAAAAAAAAAAGCTGCACTACTAAATTTGTAAGACATTGAAGTTTCAGAAATTACAGAAATCACGAGAGACGATACAATCTGATGTGTTTAAATCCCATAAGCGAACTTCATGATCCAAACTTCCACTAGCAATTATTTCTGGATTCAGAGGATGAAACCTAACCTGTAAGAATGCCATTAGTTACATCCACGTCAAAACAATAATCACAATTTGGTGGTTCGATTTTGGCTGTACTGAAAAACACATGCCCCAGAAGCAACTACCGCAGCCATTAATTAATTAATTAATTAAACATTTTGGACCAGCTAATTGGTACATAATATTTCAAATAAATGGGATAAGATCATTTAATTTGTATCTGGTTTTTCAGCAGACTTCTATTTACATAGATTTCACTTTTGGCTAAGAAGTTCAAAGAGAAGGATGCAAATATTAGGAAGAAAATGAAGAATAAATAGATCTGCAATTGCACAAGCCATACGTACCACCCAAGGTGTCCTTCTATGGCCGCTCAAAACCTTTACGCATCTGCCAGTTAGGCAATCAATTATCTTTACAGTGTGGTCACCACTGCGAGAATGAAAAGATTTGAAATAGAGTCAAAATCAGAAATAAGTATTCAAATCTAAATAAGTGAACAAAATGAGATAACTTACTGTGTAGAAGCAAGTTTTCTTCCATCGGGGCTGAATGCTGCTGCAATGGTTGACCTTGGAGGAGGCACTAAATCACAATACTTGGCTGACAAGTGCCGCAGTGACTCTGCTTCAACCCTGAAAGATCAATGAAATAAAGATTCAATAAATACTGCATGGCATCTTTGATAACCTCATATAGAAGGTACAAAAAACCTCACACCCAAACCTGCTTGAAAATAGTTAAAAAAGAGAATGGTTGTTACCATGAGAGAAGGCCACGTTTTGCATCTCTTGTTGCTTCACCCTTAGGCCCATAGGAGGAACTAGCTTTCCTTTTAGAAGTTTCTCCCCACCCCCTTCTGGGCACATGTTTTGCTCTAGGTGAAATCTCCCTTCGTGCTAGCAAGCCAACCACATTTCTGCCACAGACAAAATTAAAAAGTTCACTTGTTTAGGAGTATTATGATGTTAATTCACATGTAAACTTTCACTATTTACGAAATGAAACGTTTGAAATAATCAAGGAAAAATTATTATTTCAAAAAGGTATAAAAATCTCTCTATTTATGGTCGATCTTTTAATAATATATAATACCAACAATTCCCACCAAGTAGTCAAATCCGAATCTATCGTTTTAAATCAACATCTCAAACTGCAGCCTTGCAGTATTTGCCCTATTCCAGAGCCATAGCTATACAATCAATTCATTTCTGAAGCGTATAAGCGGTCCAAGCCAATCGGTGCTGATCCATTCTTATGCCCTATGTACTTTCGATCATTAACACCGAACCGTCCTATGTACTCGAGACTGTATCATAATTCGAACAAGCATTTCGCACAAACCAACAGAATTGGAAAGCTACATTGAACTTGAAATCTATAAAGCGCAACTAACCACTAAGATGGGATAATTTCAAATTAAACGAAAATACAAAAACTGAATTAAAATATCCAACTTAAACTAAACACGACGATTATCGGACTGGAGATTCCTAATTACAATAATATAACTCAAATTCAACACTTGCAAGAATCAAATTTAGCCAAATCCAAAATCGCAGATGCATACGGATCGAATTACAGCAAACAAACAAAACCCTAACGCAATTCAGGGACGATTGAGGGATTCGAATTCTGACCTGCAGGGAAGATGCTCGGAGGACGGAGGGGGAGAAATCGGGGTCTGATCCAACGGCCGCGAAGGTCCTGCCATCGTAAGATCGGACTTCATGGGAATTTCGCCCAACTTGCGACCCCAATTTTGGAATTTGAATTTTGAGGAGAATTCTGCGAAATCTGAATCCGAGGAGAGAGAAAATTTAGGAGAGAAAATCGAGGCTCTCTCGCTCTCTCTGATGCGGGAAGAAGAAGAGTCTATTCCTCTCTCATTCCTATGTACTTCCTTCGTCGATTTTACCAAAGGCCGAATGCGCAGTCGCTGCGTTTTTACCAAAATGCCCTTCTGATTCCCTCCCTTACTTTCTACTTCCTAATTCCAACCGTCCATCTGAATTTCTCGAGGGTTCGTATTGCGCCACATCAGCGTAAACATTTTAAATGTTTTAAATCAAAACGTTATGTCGTTTGTTCTCCTTCATGTCACGAATAAATTATGACCATCCATCACGCATCGTCTAACGTATTAACTTTCTAACACTAAATCATACCCGATTGATTCGGTATACTGTTACAGTAACATCTCATTGGTTGACGTTCTTCTCAACCGGCCTCCTATTGTTTGTTTCGGTTTTGGAGTGTTTTCTTGCTTCCTTACTTTTGGGTTGTGAGAGAAACACAGCAAACTGGAAATAGGAAACAGGTTTTAGGATCTCAACAGTGCCCCTACCACTAGGTACAGTAGACTTGGGTGGCACGGCAAAAGTTGGGTTCGTACCACCGTACGTCACTAGTTCTTAATTTAGCGATATTCAAATCTCTCGTCTCCATTGATGGAAAAGCAAAAGAAAAGCAAAGCTAACAGATATTTAATAGCACAACACGCTTCCAATTTACTTCCAACATTATGTTCACAGAGACTAAAATTAAGGATCTAAAAATGGAAATCTACACCAAAATTTTCAAAAAACATATTCACAAACTCATTGATGAATAGGAGCTTGAAAATAACAAGGGCTATATCTACAGAAGGCGACGGATGTAAAACTGGAGACGTGATCTTTTCAACAGAGCTTCTGAGGTTGAATCTTATTAGGTCGGCTAGACCCCCATATGCGGATGGTATGATCGTCGCTTGCTGATGCCAGCATCTGCGGTCTCTTAAGATTCCAACTCACACAGTTCACGGTCATTAAATGCCCACGCAAAACCTCTATCGGCCTAGAGTTTCTTCGGTTCCAAATGTATACCTAGACAAGATAATGATTTGAACTTTGTGAGGTTCCGTTTGGTTCATTGGTACAAGAATGATTTGTATATCTGCAGAACTCTAGGTAAATTCACAAATTCGGGAAGCATACCTGTGAATTCTCACTACCACTGGCAATAAATGTGCTGTTCAATCCACCAAAGCAGGAGCGTATCACATACTTGCTCTGCTTGTGGCCCATGTACTTCAGTGGCTTTTCCCACTCCCCAGCAACATCCCACATATGAATCTCCTGGCTATTTAGGTTGACAATAAAGAACTTGCTGTCCCCAGAAATTGAAAGGGATGTGATAGAATGGTCTTCTGAGATGACGCGTTCAGCATTTGTTCCCACATTTAAAATCCGAATTTCTTTATCAGAGAAAATGCTGATAAGATTTTCCCCATCTGGTGTCACAGCAAGATCTAAAATCTTGGGCATCCTCATCCCTCTCCATGCTTTTAACTCATTGCCATCGCAATCCCACATGTAGATGCCCTTTTCAGGGTCGGAACTGCCACACACAAGTCGCTTTGAGTCGGGAAACCAAGCACATGAGCTGACAATGAAGCCAGGATCCCCAAATGTATGCTTGCATGTACCTGTTTCCACATCCCATAGCTTGAGGACTTCAACATTTCCACATGTAAGCAACTTTGAGTCATCAGGGCTCCATGCTAGAAAGGATACCGGTTTGTGGTGACTTCGCAGGGTATGATTTAATGTCACCCTACCATCCTCCAAAACCTGGCCCAGAATGGCAGAATTAATGTCAGAAACCCTAACATCTTGGCATCTTCTAGTTATTCCAGTTAGTATCTTATTTTGTCATTTTTTGCACACACTTTTTAAGCATTCAGTTCATACAAACATGAAAGTCCTATTTAAAGTAACAATCATAAAAGTTCGGATCCTGTATAGCGTTTATATCTGTTTTGCATGATTGAAACTATATTAACATTGCCATAATACCTCTGGGAACAATACACCTCTTTGGATCATGCATTCCTCCACGTGACACAATGTGTTATATTGACGTAGCTTAAAAACAGATTCCTTCCTACATACCTCTTACTAAAACAGAATAAACTATTTTTCTTTCCTTATAAATTTAGAGAATACTAAAAGCAGGATTTTTCATGATCTCAAAAGATTATCTCGTTCCCTTTTCTACTTCTTATCCACAATTTTTTATGCATGAAGACCACACTTCCACCAAATAAGTAAAACATCATGCGCTTTAATATATTAATCATCATTGAAACTTTAGTATCAAAGCAATATTCAATAAGTTGAATAAAAACTTATACGGATATAATTCTATGGTACCTTCCATATGATGGCTGTGCAATCACTTGACGAAGAGGCCAAATACTTCCCGTTATTAGAAAATTGTACAAACCACACTTCATTCTTATGCTCAGTCAAAATCTGCTCCAGGGAAAACAAGTGTTTATGCGTATGTCAGTCCTCCAACAGAAGAACATATGAGCAAACAAAAGTAAAACTCTCATAACTTCAATTTTCAAAACATAAGCATTATTGCTGGCAAATCACACCTGAAGAGTTTCAGTAGGGATCTGGTCCCTACCACATAAATGGTCAGCATAAAGTGAAACTGCATCCGACAAATTGTGATACATACATGAATCAATCTGGGACAAAACAGCAGTTTCAACCAGATGTTCCAACCTGTTCTCAGGCAGCGTGATTGGTGGAGGAAGCAATTTTTCCAATTCCTGCAATAGTTCTTTTCGCAACTCACAGACAGCAATATCGTCTGTCTTGCTCTGCTCCATTTCCTTTGCGGAAAGGATGATCCGAGCAAGGTTGTGAACCTTACTTCTGTCTACATGTAATGCTGACACCTCTTTCTGCAAAATGGCCAAAGCCAATTTGTCATCCCCGCAACTCAAATACTCCAAAAGGCATTGTTTGAATACAAGAAACAAAGCAGCAGCTCTGGTCTCATCTGTCAAATCCTGAGCGGTATTAAGCGTATCAACACAACCATCCCAATTCCCGCTTGATATCTGTGATTCCAGCATTTGAAAATCATCGGATTTGCACGAAATGCCAGACTCCAACTCCAAGCATGAAGCAGACTTCTCATAGCCAATTGAAAGCAGGCATTGAATTATTATCCTTACAAACTCATGTTTCTTAACTAGGCCTTTTGAGCCAAGCCTAGGCGAACCCTCCATCAGCAATGGAGTTTGGCAAATCCTTTAATGGTTTGATGAACTTCCTAGCCTTTTACAGTCAAAGATCCCCATTCCTTCCACCAGCCATGAAATCAGAAGAGAAAGCAAACATTCTGCCAATTGCCAAATTTCACACCTCCTATCTCGAATTTCCAGTAATGGAGGATTCCGAACGACCAATCTTGAAAAGAATTCGACTTTATATCTCTGTAACCAAATACCCCAAACCTAAGAAAATCAACTTTATAACCCTTCACTCTGCAAAGAGGCTCCCTAAAACCCAAAACCTCCAATTTTGTATTCAAACAACAAAAGCAGCAAAACCGAACAAAGTTTAAACGAAAGCGTACCAAGTCAAGGGAAGCTCTCAAATCTCAACGCCCAAAAGTCCTCATTGAGAAAGCACTCATACTCTGCAGAGAAGCTCCCTAGAACCCTACTTCCAATTCTGAATTCAAACAACAAAATTTACTGCCAAACAAAAGCTCAACCGAAAACGTACCAGCACAACAGAAGAGCTCAATTCTCATTTCTCAATGCCCAGAAGTCCTTACGCGAAAAGCACTTGTACCTCAAATGAAGCTGCCAGCTTTACCATCCTAACCCATAAGCCCAAAAAACACAGAAACCAACACAAAAATAGTATCCACCTAAAATCCCTCAATTCCCAAAAACCTTCAAATGGCAATTAAACAAATTCAGATAAAACTGGAAAAATTAAAACGAACCGAGAACAACTCCGATCTCGGAGAGAATAACCCTAGAGCCCGATACGCCGAAAACTGCCATGGCTATTCAGAAGAATCCAACGAACCCAGAAGAGCATGGAGCTCGTAGAGGAAGAAAGAACGATAATTCGAAAACCGGTAGGAATTTTTGGCGGTGGGAAGATTAGATAGGATTCGTGGGGAAAAATTGGAAAAAACTGTAAATTTGTGAGGGTGGATTGGAATTTTGGGAAGCAGCAAAGTAGCAGTCAATGGGAGAGATTCACAGAGTTTAACCATCGTTTGCTTCGTTTTGAGGGAAAGACCGGGTCCCAGTTTATCTTCTGGTTTATTCCAACAAGATTAAACCGCACGTCGTTTATAGAGTTTTGGCTAAATCAAAATATTTATATCATCAAAAGAATATATCGTTGTGTAAAAAAAATTAAAATGCTTATGATCTAAAAAAATGTAATATAGTACGCATGACCTATGAAAAAAAAAAAGTTTAGAACTTGAAAAAAAAAAAACTCAGCTTAAACAAATGCTATTTTGGTTATATTTATTTTTAAATATTATTTTAGTTATATATTTTTTTTTAAATAAATGTGATAACTTTATCGGACTTCAAATCAACTATAATTTCAAATCAATCAGGACGATCCTCAACCCAATCTTGAGAATTACTAATTGACAAACCAAACTTAACTAAATGGTGTGCCAAACCAAACTTAGTCAAACGGTGTGCCAAAGCAAACTTAGTTATACCTGATATTGTTATGCGATTTTAACTTTTCAACCACTTTATTTATTACCGATAAATGTGATTATATGGACTCATCTATTACAACTATCACATCATAATGAGTCATTATCAACTCTGATAACTCAAACATAAACAATTATGACATATCAGACTATCCACATAATAATTACGTTATATGTTTCGACAGACGTATAAGAAATATATATAAATTATTTCTATGATTGAACAAAATAGTTTCTAAATCCAATTGTATAACTACTAGTTCTATTTATACGTGGGTTAAGTTCAATCAAATAAAACAAAATCCAAATCTTTAAAACAGAAATCAGGTAAAACGGCCACGTAACTTGCGTTTCGTCGGGTAGGCCCCTTCCCGAAAACATACACTCATTCGCGCAATTTGGCGCGTGGATCAGACGGCATCATTCAATTTTGCCAAGCCGGTATTGCTGGAGCCGTACACACGCACGCCAGACTCAGAGACACAAGCAATAAGTTCTCCCCCACCTCACTCCTACTATCTCCCTCAACCTGCCTCCTCCTTCCTCCTTCCTCCTCTCTCTCTCTCTCTCTCTCTCTCTCTCTCTTCATTTTCTCTCTCTAAAACACCCACATTCTCTCTCTACACCTCCGCCTCCGCTTCCGCCTCTCTCTCCTTCTAGATATTTCCACCGCGTTTCATGGATCTACAACCCCCACTCACTCCCCCAGTTTCTGCCTCTCATTCTCTCTCCTAGGTTTAGTCACCGCCACTCTTTCCACTGTTTTTTTTTTGTAGCTTAAACCATGCAATCCCTAGCTCAATGCGATGGAGAACCTCGCCGGAAACCTAGAAGCCTCGAGCTACTCTTCTCCGGTCACTCTCTCGAGCTCCAAGGCGGCTGCTTTTGACGATGTTTTGTGTGAATTTCGACAATGCGAACTCCGATTCTGCTTCTGCTGTTTGTTCTCCTCTTGATTTTCTGCTGCTTAGGTAAAATATTCAGCTCTTTATACTGTGCATTGCAGTCCAATTGTGCTTGGAGTGTTTATTTTATGCGATTTTATTAGCTTAAATCTTCGCGTGCTCGAAAAGTAGTGGTTATGTAGAAAACTGACTTAGCTTTTTTTTTTTTTTTGAATTTTATACTATTTCAGGGGGTTTTTCTCTAAATATTTACTTGTTTCCTTCTCAATTGCCAGACCAACCGTTGTCTATGAAAAATTTCTCAGTCGAACGCGGTAAGGATGCTACTATTCTGTGCATAATTCATTTGCCAGGCTCCACCTTAAGCAGTACAGTGTGTTAGCATAAATATTGTCTGTGAAATGAGCATTCTTTGAGGTTGCCAATCGTAACTTTGCGTATGCGTCGGTCTTGCATCTGCTACGGTGTTTTAGTTATACCTCTTGCCGTGTTAAGTTTACTTCTTTTGACAGCTATGCATTTATTTCTTAATCTGCGGATGACATATGCGGTTGTCCTACCATTTGCAGCAAGGTCAACGTTGATGGTTCTTCCATTTGCTTCATCAAAGCGATCCAAAGCATGGGCGGTCAAGCCTTTTACGGGAATCCTTGCACCTGCACCTTCTCCAATTCATCTAGGTATGTATTCTTTTCAGACTATGAATACCTAGATGCTCTAGTGTCACTGGCATTGCATTGATGTTGACTTCGCAATTACAGGTCCTAGCAGTCCTCACCCACCACAGCACGGCCATTATCGTCATCATCATGTGAGAGTGAAACCCCGTGCTGTTGCTCCAGCTCCATCAAATGACCCAGGTAATTATATGGGGTTTCGGATTTGTCATCAATTGTCAATGTCAGGTGTCACTCATCTGGTACAACATCCAGACAATCGGTAGCTGTTCAGTTGAAATTGTTGAATTTCCAAAAATGTTGTTTAATTTCTATTATGACCACAATGGGGTGGCCAAGAACTAATAACTGGACCAACTAATCTTCTAGTCCCTTATAAAACCATTCCTCTACCCAGGCAATAGTTATATATTTTAGACTTTCCATTTATTTAATACGACGACAACGTAATGGCCTATTTAATTACATCTTTTGGAAGATGACTTTGAGGTTTCACCATCTTTTCAACAAGGAAAAAAAAGTTCTAAGCTTTACCTTCAACTCTGGGTTGGGGTGCTGCTTGCAACTTTTTTAGCAGCTGCTGCTAGAAAAGGGACTCGGATTCATGGAAATGAAAAAAGTTTTGTTAGTTTAACTATGGTCATGACAATATAGTTTACCTCAGAATATTGTTTCTCTTAGCAAGTACCTTACCAGTTTACTTCTGTGATCATGGTACTTCTGGCAGGTTGTGACCAAATTTGTGTAGAGCCACTTACCACATCTCCATTTGGTTCACCTTGTGGTTGTGTGTTTCCCATGAAAGTCAAACTTTTACTGGACATAGCTCCTTATGCTATTTTTCCAGTAATGAGTGAGCTAGAGATTGAGATTGCTGAAGGCACGTATCTGACACAAAGTCAAGTGAAAATAATGGGTGCAAGTGCTGATAGTCAAAATCAAGGAAGAACAGTGGTGGATATTAACTTGGTTCCACTAGGGGAGAAGTTTGATAATACCACTGCGATACTGACATATGATAGATTTCAGCATAAGAAAGTGCCTCTGAATTTGACACTTTTTGGAAACTATGAAGTGGTATACATTAGTTATCCAGGTACTCCCCTCAATTCTCATGCTAATGTGTTGGATTATCATTTCAATATTGTTTGAGGTTGAGATTGAAAGGGTTATAATCAGGGCTACCTCCTTCACCGCCATATGAGATTTACAATGGGCATGATCCAGCTGGAATTGCTGGAGGTCTCCCTTTCACCGCGGATTTTGGCGGCAAGAACCAGAGGATGAATATTAGAACGATTGTGATTATTGCTCTGTCTGCATTTGTAGTCCTGGTGGTTCTCCTTGCGGCTATCTGTATCTTTGTGAAGGGGAGGAGAGTTGGAAGACCATCTAGCGCAGTCAGTCCTGTATTCACACCTTCTGTTCACAAAAGATCTGGTAAACATGTGGCTTTTAATGAAATTTTAATTCAGTCCCATGGTAAACGACTGTAGACTGAGTGATTGGATATATGTGTGTATTGCAGCAGGTATCGGGTCTATCTTATCAAGTAGCATTGCAAGCTCCACTTCAGTGTCCCTAATGTCCACCATGGCTACCAGTATTCTCTCTGTCAAAACATTTCCACTAGCTGAGCTTGAGAAAGCAACAAATAAGTTCAGTTCCCAAAGGGTTTTGGGAGAAGGGGGATTTGGACGTGTTTACCATGGAATTATGGAAGATGGGACTGAAGTTGCAGTCAAAGTGCTTACAAGGGATAATCAGAATCAGAATGGAGACCGTGAATTTATTGCAGAAGTTGAGATGCTAAGCCGTTTGCATCACCGTAATCTTGTGAAGTTGATAGGCATTTGTATTGAAGGGCAGACACGCAGTTTGGTATGTGAGATTGTTCGCAATGGAAGTGTTGAATCTCACTTGCACGGTATATTTTCTTGTCTACCGCGGTCTCTTTTGGTTTCTGAATTGAATTGCCAAAGTGTGTCAACTAACTAATTGTATGTTATGGTTGTTTTTCAGGCATTGACAAGATAAATGGGCCTCTTGACTGGGATGCAAGGATGAAGATTGCCCTTGGGGCAGCAAGAGGATTAGCCTATCTTCACGAAGATTCTAATCCTCGTGTTATTCACCGAGATTTTAAGGCTAGTAACGTTTTGCTGGAAGCTGACTTCACACCCAAGGTTTCAGATTTTGGGTTAGCTAGGGAAGCAACTGAGGGAAGTCATCACATCTCCACTAGGGTCATGGGAACTTTTGGGTAATCAGAGTTGCTTAAGCTATTGCGATATCAGGATTTCACAAAGCTTTTTACAGTGCATTGTGTTTTCGTTGTTTTCTTTAAGCTAATACAGTGTTGATAAATGCACTTGGGTATAACAACATAGTTCACTAGAGATTGGGAACCTTTAATGAATGATTAACGATACTTAGGGAACAATTTAATTAGAATTTTATATCCTCTGTCCATATATATGTAAAATTCCTAGTATACTTTGATGACTATGTGATGAAATAATGTTTTAATAGATTTTTTTCAGAGCACCATTTCAACTCTTCTCTTGACCAAAATGATGGATTTTACAGGTATGTTGCCCCAGAATATGCAATGACAGGGCACCTACTTGTCAAGAGCGATGTTTATAGTTATGGCGTTGTGCTGCTGGAACTCCTCTCTGGAAGAAAACCGGTTGACATGTCCCACTCTCCGGGACAGGAGAATTTAGTAACATGGGCACGACCATTGCTAACGAGCAGAGAAGGCTTGCAGCAGTTGGTGGATCCCACCTTAGCTGGAACCCATGACTTTGACGACATGGCTAAAGTGGCAGCCATTGCTTCCATGTGCGTTCACCCTGAGGTGACCCACAGACCTTTTATGGGTGAAGTTGTGCAGGCTCTAAAGCTGATATACAATGATAACGATGAGACTGGTGGGGACTGTTATAGTCAAAAGGAGTCTTCCGTCCAGGACTCTGACTTTAAAGGTGATCTTGCCCCATCTGATAGCAGTTGGTGGAATGCTGGTGGACTCACTCCCCGGATGAATTATGGGCATGCCTCTTCATTCATCACAATGGAGTATAGTTCTGGACCACTTGAAGATATGGAAAACAGACCGTTTTCAACTTCAAGTTTGGTAGGGGATGAGATATTGTTACCAATCAGACACGGCAATAGGTCAGGGCCGTTGAGAACAGTCCGAAGCAAGCCAGCATTCTACAGAGTAAGAGGAAGTAGGAGCGACCACGGGGGACTGCTCTCGAAGAAGCGTGCTTGGAACGATGGCTTCTGGGTTTGAACAAGTTTGTTAACTTAATTTTTTGAATTTTGTACAGCTCAAAAAGGACCGCGGCGGCTTTTTAGTTAAGCCGTTGGTGTAGATTAGGGTTGGAAAATCCTGCGGATTCCATGTTTGGAAGATGAGAGAGAAAGTGAGGAGAGAGGATTAATGGGTTCTAATTTTGGAATTCTTGATTCATTTGCATACAAGCTCAAGATGGATGGAGAAATGTAAGTTGAATGTAAGTTCAATGGCTTATTGATTTGACAATTTTACCCTCGTTTGTATTTGTTCGTCTGAAAGTCATCTTCTACTTGTAGCCAGATATAACTTATCTGATTCAGATACATACTTTCCACTGATATTGTCAGCTTCTGTTAATTTGTACGGACGAATCTTCAAGCTGCGTAGCATTTGTTTGTATTTTTCATATTTTTTCTTCTAATGAACAAGATCTTTATCGTAAATAAAGCGATACTCTAAATTACTAAGTACAAGGGGCGGATTCACTGTAGCCAGTTGACCTAAAGCAGGTTTTCATTTTGGCACTATTAGCTCCAAAATTTGTTCTCTAAGACTCTAACTATACTTTTTAAAGGTTAAAAGTGGATTTGAATTTAAAAACAATGGAAATGAATTCGAATACTTATCAATCTGTTCAACTCACATTCACAATCTTAATAAACGAAGAACTTGACCTAATACTATTGGTTCGGTTTACGATTTGACCAAGTATTTACCAACATAATCGGTTCAATTCGCAAATTAACCGTAAATCAACCAAGCCAATCCATCCATCGACCTTACTTGTTCAGTTACGATATGGTTAAACATATTCAATTTAATTCATAATTTAATTATTCATCAAACCAAACTGAACCGAACCAAACAACACGACTCCCTTCCTTTAACAATAGTCACACGGATACTGAAGCAACACACACATTGCCTTCCACGCGCGTTGCCGTTGGAATATCAGAAAGAAAAGAACGATGCTTTCTTTCTCCCCAACTTCTAATGCCACTCTTCTCAACTCACCAACATCCTTCTCCCTCCCTCCCTCCCCACCTCGCTCCGCCAGGTCTCCTCCTCCCTCCTCCGCTCCAACCACCGCACCATTCTCCTCCAACCAAAATTCTACATCTTTTAATCACTAATTTCAAGTTTTGATTTCAGGTTCAAAATGTCAATCGATTCTCTCCCTCCTCTCCCCGAAAACCGAACCGTCGTAAGTTCATCCCCATTAATTAATTATCATACTTTTTACGATTGTTAATAATATAAACACTGACCAACTGTGAATGCGCAGGTCGGCGTCGGCGCGGTGGTCGTTGATTTTTTGGCCGCAGTGGCCTCTTATCCTAAGCCGGACGATAAAATCAGATCCACCAGCTTAAAGGTTACTTGAATTTACCCAACTTGATTTGACTTTAGTAACTCGGTTGCTTGTGCAATTTTTACCGATGAAAGCTTTGTTAGGAATTAGTAAACTGTTATCGATAGGTCGTTGTAAAAAATGTCGTCTGCCTTTGGGGGAGGGGGAGTTTCAAACCCAGGATTCGTAGGTGAAACCCAACATCCTATCTCGAAGCTTTATTGTTTAATATTATTAAATTGTTATTGACATTCCAAAAAACTTATTTGCACTCGTCACGTGAAATTTTTTCATGTATGCTTAAGAGCGCATGATGACTGTTTTGGAGTGCCAGTAACGACCCCCAATTGTTATTGTTAATACGTGTTATTACAGCGTGAATTGTGCTATGGCTTTGCTTTTATAGTTGCCAATGGTTGGTTGGTTTCTTAGGTTCAAGGAGGTGGGAATGCAGGTAATGCCTTTACCTGCGCAGCTCGTTTGGGTTTGAATGCCAGGCTGATTTCCAAGGTCTTCAATCTGAATCCTTTACTTTGAATTTTCAACTGTTTTCGCCGAGCATTGGTTGTTTGATTATTGTAAGTTTGTAACATGTCTTGAGCAATGTGAAATGATAGGTTGCAAATGATACACAAGGCAGGGGTATACTGGAGGGGCTGCAGGATGACGGCATTGATACTTCTTTTGTTGTGGTAAGCTTCAAAAGGAAAGTCATTCATGATCTTGGTTTCACCTGCGGTGTTTTATCAGGCAATTATGATATTAATAATGATGCTTGCTGCTTAAGTATTTTAAATCTGGAGCCCATCATTTTTATTTCTTGGGTTAGGTTATGTATCTTTCGATTACTGTATATTAATGCTTTATACACCTTTGCAATATTGAAAAGTAGATTTAGAAATATATTTAAAAAATAGCTAACAAAATTTGGTTTTTCGCTTGAATGCTTCTGGGAACTCTCTAAATTGGTTGATTATCAATTCTGGTTATTGAACAAATAGGACCTGACTGCTGTGCAATCCAATATTGCTATCATTTTTTTTTTAAACTCGACCTGTCTTATTTTCAGGTTTCCGAGGAGGGTAATTCACCATTTACCTACATTATTGTTGACAACGAAACGTGAGGACCTTTTCTTATATCTGTTCTGCTCTCTCTCTCTCTCTCTCTCTCACACACACACACAGACACACGTTCTTGCATGCACACACACACACAACCTTGTGGCAGTCTGACTGTATTGCTTAACGCAACCTATTTTTTTCTTTCAACATTTTGAATCCGATCTGATGGCATTGAAAAAAGTAGGCACTGACCCTACATTTTGCAATGGAATTTCTCTTTACGTAGCATCTCAAAGGCTGTTTTTGATAATCATTCTCAATTTGATTAGCTGTGAGTGTCATTTCCAGGAAAACTCGCACCTGTATTCATACTCCAGGATATCCTCCCATGATACCAGATGACCTTTCCCAATCAAGTTTATCATCTGCGTTGGATGGAGCAAGAATTCTTTATTTAGATTGCCGAATACATGAAACTGCATTAGTTGTTGCGCAGGAGGTAATTGTTATCTTCTTGTTTCTAGTATTTAATTTTCTTTGAAGTTTACTATTTGGTAATTTTAACTAAAGAGAATAAATCAAGCATAACTGAATTCTTACAGGCTGCTCGGAAAAATATACCTATATTAGTTGATGGTGAACGGCTAAGAGAAGGGTTGGATGGTCTTCTAAACTTGGCTGATTATGCTGTATGCTCAGCGAAATTTCCGCAGGCAAGTCAACTGTTCTTCCTTGAAAGGAAACTAACTTATGCTCAATTTTTTGTTTTTTTTGAAACCCCTAAAACTAGAGATACGACGTTGATTTCCTTCCTGTCTGTTGCCTAACAATTTTCAGCCGAAAAAAAAAAAGCCCATGAACGAAACTTTTCTCCAGATAATAAGAGGTTTTCTAGAGCACTGCTCTTCTTATACCATATTATTTATTAGTCTTAACAATGTTATAGATATACGTTTCACTTAGGATGTATGGTAATGTGTTGCTCTTATTTTACAATAAACTTAGACCACATTCAAAAACATTTTTTGCTGTTCATTTTTTTCTTCAATTTCTTGTTCTACGTTTTAAAAAAATTTCTTACAAGATTTTCTTTACATTCATTGTATATCTTCATCATGTTGCTTAAGCTTAACACTGCTAGATCATTTATGTGAACAGGCATGGACAGAAGCAGCATCTGTTTCTAGTGCTCTTGTTTCAATGCTTTTGAAATTGCCAAAGATCAAATTTGCAATTGTGACATTGGGAGAAGATGGATGCATTATGCTTGAGAGAAGTGTGGACGGTAAGTTCTTTCCAGGGTTTATTGAGGAGGAAATCAATATAAAACATAGGGTACAAAACTGCAACTCAGAATTCTGTAAAGATAGTTTGTTTTATCAGATTTAAATTTTTTACAGGTTTTCATTGAAACTCTGTTTCTGGCAGAAACTCCTCAGATAGAAGAAATGGATGTCGACAGCTTGTTGGAATCACTGAAGCAGAGAAAGGATGATAGCACAGCTATCCCAACATGTGTTTCATCGGTTAGGAACTTTAACTTCAGACAAGACTTGTTTCCCTTTGCGTTATAATAAATCAGCCTGGAACTGCTGTATAGTCCTTTGTATTAAATTAAGATCTACTAATTCACAAGTTTTTCTATTTTAATCCTCTCAGCCGGTGACAAAATTGAGAGCCAACGGAATAGGGACAGTTTGTGGGAGGTTGTTGGTTGGAACAGCTGAGAAAGTACCGCCGGAAGAACTCGTAGACACAACAGGTGCTGGAGATAGTTTTATTGGAGCAGTTCTTTATGGTATCTCTCTCTCACTCTCTCTCACAGACACATTCTTGTTGATTTCATAAAGTTGAATTTACTACTTTTTGCAAATTCTTCTCTCCATCCATTGCCAGAATCTTTTAGCGCTAGTTTGGTATTGCTGTGCTTTGAAAAAAAAACTGCTTCTGCTGTGCTGTGAGAATAAGCTCATTTTTGCTGCTTCACGTCTTCAGCTTTTTTTTCACCCAAAACTGTGAAAATAAGCTGTTTTTAAGTGTTTACCAAACACCTTTTTGAGCTCAGCTTTTTTTTATACCAACTTTTTATAAAAGCACCTCAATACCAAATCAGTACTTAGTTTATCCATCGGAAGATATCATCTCTATCGTGTCATGTACTTTTTTCACGGATGGGATTCTTGGTTTTGTAGCTATTTGCACCAACATGCCACCAGAGAAAATGCTGCCGTTTGCTGCACAAGTGGTAAGTTGGGGCAGTGTTTTGATGTGGTGGGCTGCTGCAACATAGATTTGTTTGTGACCTTTTTTTTTCCTCTGGCGTTGTATCAATTGCAGGCAGGTGCCTGCTGTAGGGCTTTAGGAGCTCGAACTGGCCTTCCACATCGCACAGATGCACGCCTGGCATCATTTCTATCTTAAGATTTCCCAGGAAGTCCTACGCGATTGGCAAAGTTAATTGGAAAACGTGAAATTTAGCGTAGAACTTGAGCTATTTCCTCTCACTAGTGATGCGGAACAGAAGTGATGGCTTTCCTAAATCAATGGGTGTTTTAGTATTTTAACAAGCTTACCTTCCTGCGTTCATTAGGTTTAAGGCCTTGTAAACATCCCTTGTACTTCAGATTAACAAACAATGAAGAGTTTATGTATAGAAAAACTTTGTTTTCCGGAGTACAAGAACGGGTGTGACGCCCCTGAAGTGATTTCAGTTACCCTTATAGACATAGTTTAATTTAAGTTTTCTGTGGCTTCCGCTAAATTATCTAAATTCCGCTGCCGTACTCTATACATCAATGAGTTCGAAACTTTGTAACGGACGGTGTAAATTATCTTATCAGTCTACATAAATTTTAGGCAGTCTGAAGTTGGAGCCTTCTTACAGGTCTATTTTATCTTCTCATTCGTCCTCACCATCATCATAGACAAAAGTATAACGACATATACAACAACAAATTTTACAAGAACCATCTGGACAACAATCAAACTTTGGAGGAAGGTACAAATTATTTAGGAACTTCTTACACATTGGATAAGCCATTTCCTTTAGGAGCTTCTCCGTAGGATCACCTGAAACTTTGGTAACAATTTGACACCGAATAATGGAGATCAAAAGAGAAACCACAAGTGAACACTCGAAGATAAATAACTCGTCACTCTAAGAAATTCACCAAAGAGATACGAGTTTAGAGATAGGAAGAAAACACGAAAACACTCTTTCACTAAACCAAGATTAAAAGTAATTCTCAATTTTTGGATAATGCCTTTTCATACATAAGGAAGAAAAAGAGGGGGGGGGGGGTGTTTAAATAGTGTCGACATGGAACAGCCTTCCATGAATAGCCTAACCCTTATTAATGATGAGCTTAAATGAAACATTGAACATATTTTGAATTAAATATGATGAATGCACCGTGTAATAATTAGACGAATCCAGATTCGGGTCATTGCTATAGGAGCAAATTTGGAAGGAGCAATTTGCCCCATTTTAATTTTGAACAAGTTCAATGTAATTTTTGACCCTTTCCTTTTCCGGCAAAAGTAAATTACTCGATTCTTTTTGGTGTCCTAGTTTGATTAGACTTTGGGAGAATTCTCAATTCCTGGCCAAATCAGGAAAATATTATTACTATGTGTTGATGAACAAAACCGAAGGTCTTGAAACAACGTAAATCCGAGCGTGCATCTGCAAGAAATGTAAATAACACAAGATGTATCGTGGTTCACCCCAATGTTTGGGCTACATCCACACTGATTATTGTATTTCTCTGTTTGTGAGGGAGAGAGATGGAGAGAGCTTCTGAGGGTGAGAGAGCCCTTCCATGGCCTAAGAATTGGCCTCTCTTAATGAGGAGAGTGAAGGGTCCTTTTGTAGAATAAGGACTCCTCACTTATTACATATTTGCCCATTCCTTTATTACATAATTACATTTGAGTCCACCGAGTATTTATACGAGGTCTAAATACGGAGGCCCTAAGTATGATACAAACAGTAGTCCCCCAAGTCTTCAGTCAAGAGAGTCTTTTGGCTGGAGACTTGAAATTCAGTCCATGTGTGTGCCGAAGTAACTAGATGTCGTCTTGAACTGATACTTGATATGAGGCGGTGCTCAAAGTGAAATGATGCTACACTAGAAGTAGCATATGTTGCGAGGCTGCTCTGCTTGTGACTTATGTTGCCTTGGTTAGCTCGGCTTGTGGCGTTGAAGGTGAGGGAGTTCCTTTTATAAAATTAAGGGCTCGCTCCTCAATACATAAGTGATGGGTTAAGAGTGATGCTCGCGGCGAGTCGGTTGCTCAGCAGGCGGCGATGCTTTCTAATGATGGTGAGGGAGTCCCTTTTATAGAATAAGGGCTCGTTCCTTAATACATAAATGATGGGCTAAGTCCCCCAAGTATTTTTTTATGAGGCCCAATATATGGTGATGGGCTAGAGTTGATGCTTGCGGCGAGGCGGTTGCTCAGCTAGCGGTGATGCTCTCTAATGATGGTGAGGAAGTCCCTTTTATAGAATAAGGGTTCGCTTCTCAGTACATGAATAATGGGTGCTCTCTAATGAAAATGAGGGAGTCTCTTTTATAGAATAAGGGCTCGCTCCTCAATACATAAATAATGGGCTAAGTCCCCCAAGTATTTTTCATGGGGCCCAATTGAGGCCCAATATATGGTACATAATGTAGTCCCCCAAGTCTTCGGTCAATAGAGTCTGTTGGTTGGAGACTTTAAATTGAATCCATGTATGGGCTGAAGTGTCGGTTGTTCGGAGGCGGTATTTGTATACCCTGCACTGAAGCTTTGCAAGTGAAGCTTTGAAGTTGGAGCTTTTGTAAATGCAGCTTTTGAAGTTGGAGCTCTGTAAATGAAGCTTTTGAAGCTAAAGCTTTTATAAATGAAGCTTTCGAAGCTAGAGCTCTGTAAATGAAGTTTTTGAAGCTGATTGACATGAGTAATGCTCATGAATGTTTATGTTGATTGACATGAGTGATGCTCATGGATGTTGACATGAGTGATGCTCATGAATGTTTATGTATGATTGATATGAGTGATGCTCATGAATGTTTATGTATGTTTGACATGAGTAATGCTTATGTATGTTTATGTATGTTTGACATGAGTGATGCTCATATATAATTTTGGAGTACAGGACGTACTTTTGATCACCTGGTTGGTGATAATAACGACAGGGTGCCGAATATTTGTGGAGTACTGGACGTACTTTTGATCACCTGGTTGGTGATAATAGAGGGTTTGGCTCTTTTAGGCATATGGGCCTTCGCCCTCCACATAACATTCTAGCCCATTATTTTGGGCGTGCCGTTTTTTATTTTTATTTTTATGATTATTACCCTCTGATGGGGTTTATACAGTTGTCTCCGAAAGATAAGAAAAATAAATTACATCACTCAAAAATAAATCTGACCCTCTGCTCAATGGGTCACGCCCATAATTCCCTTTTCTGCATGCCATCACCACCGTAATTATGTCTGCTTCTTTTTATCTTCTTTTACTTTTCTAGTGTCCCCTATGTGCTCTCGCAGATGAAAGCCTCCATTTATTCCTTGCTTTTGCAAATTTGCGTGCCTGCTATCCATAGCTTTTCTGTGGGTGGTCGACAAAATAAAGAAAACACCAACCGCTATTATCGAATTGCTTCAGATTTTAACTAAAGAAAGCATAATTCTTTCTTTTCTCTCTCCACTGCGTCTCTCTCTCTCTGTCTTTCTACCTCCACCCTCTCTAGTAGACTTGCTTTTGCTTATGCAAACTTTCTTTACAGCAAACATATCTAGTTTTTCTGTGGGTGGTCGACAAAAGTCATCCATGTGGGTGGTCTGATCAGTGCTGCCAGTGATGAGCAAGCAAGATGAGATCCGGCACTTAGACGTCGTAGTGAGGGGTGACAAGGCGGATGAGGTCAACGAACTGCCATGTTGCGTCGACGCCGAAGCCAGGGATGAAGAGAAGGTTGGGCTTGGAAGGGTTCGGCAATTGCGGGACCTAGCAATGCAAGGGTGTTGCATTTGCTGGATCATCGAGGGGCCGAGATGTCTAATAGAGACTGTCATTCCAGAACCTTAGCAGCCATGACATTTCATTGAAGCACCTGACTTCGACCATTTACCCTTGCACTTGGAGCAGATTTTGTTACGCGCGAGAGAAAGCTTTTTGGATGTTCCATTGTAGAGATTTTCCAAAGAAAACTTTAAGGGGATGGATCACAGAATATAGGTGATCAAGAAATGCTTGAGGCATCAAGAGTTGCAGAGGGGAGAGATGATTGATTGGCCGGGGCAACAGTGAACATTTCAAAAGAAATGCTGGTGTTAGCCCAAGAAGAAATCCAGTTGAGGAGGATGTCAAGTCCGAGGATATCTCCGGTGACTCTGAAAATGAAATATGGGAATTAAACGCTGCCAGCGACTCAGAAGCATCGAAGGCAGGGAGATTTGATTACAACAGCAGCGACGAAAAGGATTATCAAGTTCTCCACAGCAGCGACGATCTCTTCGACGGCGATCTTGGCGATCCACTTTAATGGGTCTCTGCCTGTCGCCCTCTTCAATGCCTCGGAGCTGCAGCTCGAGGTCCATGCGGGTGTCAATCTCGACGGCGATGACCCTCCAGGTGACTTCCCGAATTGCTTTCCAACTCCAAGGTCGAGGCTTTTGATTCTCCTCCCAGCCCAGAATTCATGGTTGCCAATCAATTTTACGATTAACCCAAGTCCTCCAGAAATAAAATAAAAAATTGTTGCTTTTTGTTGTTTCCTTATCTGGGTTGGAAAAAGGTTTAGGCTTTTGAGTTTGTGGCGTGTGGATTCTGAAAGTTTACAAAGAAATTGTATGAAATGGGGCGATGGGCTTTCTGAGGGAGAGGAAATCTGAGAGGGAAATGGGGCGTTTACTTATCCGATTGGGGAGAGACAGAAGAATTTAGATCTGTGGTTTTTTAGGTGAGCAGATTCATGGTGGATATTGTGGTGAGGTTTCACGGTGGTGAGATGAAAAAATGAAAGAGAACCGACATAGCTTTTCGTGTCGATTCCCACAGACGGCGCCAAATGTTGATGCATAAAACCAAAGGTTTTGAAACAACGTAAATCCGACCGTGAATCAGCAAGAAATGTAAATAACACAAGATGTATCATGGTTCACCCCAATGTTTGGGCTACGTCCACACTGATTATTGTATTTCTCTGTTTGTGAGGGAGAGATGGAGAGAGCTTCTGAGGGTGAGAGAGTCCTTCCATGGCTTAAGAATTGGCCTCTCTTAATAAGGAGAGTGAGGGGTCCTTTTATAGAATAAGAACTCCTCACTTATTACATATTTGCCATTTCCTTTATTACATAATTACATTTGAGTCCCCCGAGTATTTATACGAGGTCTAAATACGGAGACCCTAAGTATGGTACAAACACTATGTATACCTCAAAGAGTTCCCAACTCTTTTGCATCAAAAACTTGGTTGGTTAAGATCATTCACAACCGAAGTTTCGAGTTCAAATCCTCATCCCCTTATATATAAGATTCATTGTATCAGAAAAACTAGAGCAAAATGTTATATTGCAAAATTGCTTTGTGTTAAAACCATATTGTTGGGCCTATCACCTCTCTTTCAGCCCATACTTGTTAGCTTTCAACTTGTTAACTTGTTTTGTTGCTCAAGGCCTAAGCTCTTGGAACTACATATTGTGGTTGTGTTTTATCCTTTTAGCTAGGGTTTTCCCTTTTCAACTCAATATAAATAATTTTGATGGGCTCTGTAGAAGGGATGTTGAATGAAATGAACTTTCTTTCCCTTCAAATCTCAATTCTCCTTCCATTCTCTTTACATTTCCTGCATTATTCTCATTAATTTCCCAATT